GTATTGGTGGAATAATTTGCTGTTCTCGCCGACGCCTAGTAATAGGTCTTTGTTCTGACATCTTTATCCCCTGTAATGATGGATACAAGGGCTGAGGTGGTGGGTCAGGTTTAATCACCCACTCCTCCTCCTCATCATCCCCCCAAAGATCCCCGTTCCATTTCTCCGGGTTCCAATCTTCACCAACATTCTTTACAAACGCCCGGATCTGAGCAGGACCTGTTCTACGAGGTCGCTTCTTTTCCTTCCTTTGCGCTCGAGACACAAAAGTCAGCGTTTTATCCAAAACTTTCTGAGCATGCTTTAGCTCTTTCCCCATCACACACACTCTCTGCTCAAACTCTGAGCATGATTTTTCAACTTCTTCAGCATGGATTTTCTCCTGCGCCGCTCGCTCTCTACAACTGCTCAATTCTAACTCCTGTTTTTTCCATGCTTCTGCAAAAAGCCACATCATATCTCTCACTCCTGCCAGCGGCGCTTTTTCTTTAACTTCTATCCGCGTCAAACGGTCCAGCACCACGGCGGGGCTGACCACTCCATTTAACTCTCCCCACGGCCCAGGGCGTCCACCGCGCTGCCTTAACATATCACCAATGGTTCGGAACTCCTCCGTTTCCCAGCCGGGAATCGGCACGGGAATCGGCGTTCCCTCCCCAGAAGCACTCGGCTCCTTTTTGCTTCTCCAAAAACACTTCATTGTTGCTGGAATAGCTTGACTGATCCTGTTCGTGACGCCAAAAATGTTCTAAAATAAAATGTTTTATTTTATTTTAATTACCTTAAAAGACTCAAAGTCTCTTTTTACACTTTATATTTATTTAATCAGGATCGTTGTCAAGTCGACGCCAGAAACAATGAAACACAACTTGAATATCAGATGAACAACAAGGCTTTATTCAACCGGCATTCATACAAGTTATCAATCATGAACGAAACATTTCTCTTACCGTTGCTTATGGGTGGAGAGCTGAACACCCCAGTTAGAAAACGTAATCCATGATAGGTGAAGAACTGAACACATGTAATCCATGAACCTCGTCAGGTAGAATCCTTCAAGCAGCTCTAACCCCCCTGAGCCCTGCTCTGCTCCTTATACATTCCCTGATGTGCGTGCAAAGCTGCACACCTCTACCATGATTACCTTGATTACATCCTCATGATCACATTATGTTCGGCTCTACCATGATTACCCTTGATTACATCCTCATGATAAGTGTGATTGACAAACAGTAGTGATCAATAACTTATATAAAGCAATTATACAACAGATGACAAGTTCATTTTTATTACAGGGATGCTCCAGGAGTATGGGGTGGGTGGCTTTCTGTTAAGGGCCATTCAGTCCCTTTACCAGAGGAGCGTGAGTTTGGTCCGCATAGCCGGTAGTAAGTCGGACCTGTTCCCAGTGAGGGTTGGACTCCGCCAGGGCTGCCCTTTGTCACCGGTTCTGTTCATCACTTTTATGGACAGAATTTCTAGACGCAGCCGTGGTGTGGAGTGTGTCGAGTTTGGTGGCAGGAGAATCTCGTCTCTGCTTTTTGCGGATGATGTGGTCCTCCTAGCTTCATCCAGCTCTGACCTTCAGCTCTTGCTGGGTAGGTTCGCGGCCGAGTGTGAAGCGGCTGGGATGAGGATCAGCACCTCCAAATCTGAGACCATGGTTCTCGACCGGAAAAGGGTGGCTTGCCACCTCCGGGTCGGGGGAGAGGTCCTACCTCAAGTGGAGGAGTTTAAGTATCTCGGGGTCTTGTTCACGAGTGAGGGTAGGAGGGATCGGGAGATTGACAGGCGGAATGGTTCGGCGTCTGCAGTGATGCGGACGCTGAGCCGATCTGTCGTGGGGAAGAGGGAGCTGAGCCAGAAAGCCAGGCTCTCGATTTACCGGTCGATCTACGTCCCAATCCTCACCTATGGTCATGAGCTTTGGGTAATGACCGAAAGAACGAGATCGCGGATACAAGCGGCCGAAATGAGTTTCCTCCGTAGGGTGGCCGGGCTCAGCCTTAGAGATAGGGTGAGGAGCTCGGACATTCGGGAGGGACTCGGAGTAGAACCGCTGCTCCTCCGGATCGAAAGGAGCCAGTTGAGGTGGTTTGGGCATCTGGTCAGGATGCCTCCTGGACGCCTCCCCGGGGAGGTGTTTCGGGCATGTCCTGCCGGCAGAAAGCCCCCGGGTCGACCCAGGACACGTTGGAGAGGTTACATCTCCAATCTGGTCCGGGAACGCCTTGGGGTCCTGCCGGAGGAGCTGGTGGACAAGGCCGGGGAGAGGACGGCCTGGAGCTCCCTAATTGGGATGCTGCCCCCGCGACCCGGACCCGGATAAGCGGAGGAAGACGAAGACGAAGTATGTACTGGTGCTTATGCAGCCTTGCCAGAGTTCAAAGAGATTCGAAACATCCTACTCATCAGCGACAAAATGCATTTTCTCTTAAAAGACTACGACACTTTGTATGTTGAGCACTTGAGGTCATACGAACTAGTCGAGCATATACCGGAGAGTCATAGTGTCAAATCTGTGTGCCAGCTGTCTGACCACCTGCCACATTTTGCTTATAAGATTGCAAATTAGGGCTGCAGCTATCGAATATTTTTGTAATCGAGTACTCTATCGAATCTTTTTTTCGATTAATCGAGTACTCTAATAAATTACTCTTTTGTGTTTGTAAACCATTATATCATATATTGATGAGCCAAGATGGTGCCGAGTATGGCTGCCTCGTCGCGAGCTCCACCAAGTTCCAACATTACACGCTCCATACTGTACATTAATGCCACTGTTTTGCACATACCAACCTCTGTACATTTTATATCTCTTATCTTATTGTTTACTTTATTCATTTGTATACTTAGATTAGCCATTTTTATATTTTAATTGTTTTTACATTACTGTATTTTTGCACAACTCTGTTGCTGTGAAGCTCGCACACAAGAATTTCACTCGCATGTACTGTACCAGTGTACCTGCACATGTGACGTGACAATAAAAGTGATTTGATTTGATATCAAATAGCATGTTATAATTATGAAAGACCTCTTAAAATGAGCAAGCAATTGCCAGTTATTCTTCAAGTTTTATTCAAAATTAGTTTGCATAACTTCAGCACTTCAACTTTACTTCACAGTAAACAAATGCCTGTGCAAAAAAGTATACATCCTGAGCCGATTCTCTCCTCTTGCGAGAATCTGCTAGCCTGCAAGCCAGACAATAACTAGGAGGATAACTGTTGAAGTAGCGCTGCGAGCGGCTGCGGCCCAAACAGAACCAGAACCGCTCACGGCGCAAACAGCTCGCCGGCTGTTTCCCTATTAACACACGTCCGTTTTAATTTCTACACTTTTTTTTCTCACACTAACAAGGATTGTCGAGAAAGCATGTTTGCTGTGGTTTTGTCAAATTATACTGATCACAAAACATTTATTTACTTCCTTTCGTTTTCCTCCGTCACTCATAAATACCCGTGTCCTCCTGCAGAAACCCCGAGGGACAACGGACATCAACAACACAATAAAAAGTCTGACGTGTTGTGTAAAAACTGCTATTTTTAGCACATTTTAAGTCCGACGTGTTGCTACCAGATGTATGGTGTGAGCTGAAACTGAGTGCTACAAACGAAAAAGTCGCACAGTGCCTGCAGAATATATAGCAATACAGGCTAAAAAGCATTATCTTGTAGAGGCTCCGAGTTCCCTTGCAGAAGTGACATTTACAGGTGCTGCAGCACGGAGGATGTGGTGTTGTAGTAGGCTAAATCCATGTTGTTACAGTATTTACACTGGACTACGTTTTCCGCCTTACGACATGAAAAATGGTCCCACACCTTTGACATTTTCTGTCTTTTTCTCACTCCACCGGGGTACAAGTTGTCCGCCATGGCTTAAGAAAAAGTTAAGTTATATTCGCTACTCGCGTGTGCATTCAGTCCAGTGGGCATGTGCGTCACTTATTTCGGTCCGGGTGAAACATGACCCCGTGCGTTTGCAAAGCCATGAATTAATTAAATATGAATTGAACGAATCCTCGAGGCAGAGAATTTGACTCGAGGATTTTTTGTACTCGAATTATTCGAGGTACTCGAGGAATCGTTTCAGCTCTATTGCAAATGAACTAATTCTAACAACAAAACATTTCATTCCAGTGTCTGACTAAAGAAACAGAACTGAAATATCAGCGGATCTCCCCAGCCCTTCTGCCAGTGTACAGGTAATGCATACATGGCATGAGAACTCTGAGTGTGTTGAAATGTCGCTATATTATTTGAATCCTGTATGTTACAGGACCTACAACTTCAGATGGAGGCAACAGAGAGACTGAAGCTAAGGGTCATCCTTGATAATGATAATGCTGAAAGACTTATTCTGCCATCTCGCCCAAGCAGTGTACAGGCCCTCATAGATTAAATCAAAACTAGGCTAAAGTTGACTTTTGACTTTAGGCTTCAGTTTGAAGATCCAGATTTTGATCATGCATTGTGTAATTTGGTTGAAATGGAACACCTCCCAAGCACAGCATCGGTTAAAATAATCAGATTAGTGGAGCTGGACTTGATTTCAACCAGCACTAGTGAGACAAGTCTTCTGAACGATAGCACTGATGCCATAGATTCACCAGAGCGTATGTCGGTGGCCAGAGGTTTTTATTGTTCCAAAATTTTCTTATGAGGTGGAACATGTGCTAAAGGAAGGTAATGCAGCATTTGAAAAAGATGGGAAACTAATTAGACTTCCTAGAGATCAAAAACACAACATACTCGAGGTAATGGGGGAAGAAAATTTTTAAACTGAAGGCATATCCTAGTAGCACACAGATTGGAAAGGCTGCAAAAGCTTTAGTTGAAAAGCATCCCTGTCTGAAGGAGAACAATTCTGACACTGGTTGGGAAGGATGGAAGAATAGTTTGAGACACAAAATAGGAAACCAAAGAAAGAAGTTGGCCAAAGCCGGCATCAGAGATGTTGCTGTAAACTCTGGAAAACGCAGCAGAACAAACCCAGAAGGAGCACCAAGAGCCAATATTAAAAGACCTAAGAGAGGTGAGGTCAACTTCCTTCCCAGTTGTCCTTCTGGAGAAACAAGAGAGTCTCTGGAGAAAAGGAGGGTTGAGATGATAGAAGAGTTCCGGAAGACCTCTGCTGAAAGGGACATTCCACTCATTCATCAGCACATGATGCGCACTTTTTCCCTGAGACGTGAAGAGATCATTACATCTTCTCTTCCTGTATCAGAGCTTAAGGACAGATGGCCAGCTCTCTTTAATGAGACACAGGTAAGTACAACTATATTAAATGTACTGCTTATAAAGTATACAGCATTTTTTTTCATATCATTTTTGGTTTATTCTCTTCAGCTCTACTGTGAATTTCACCGGATTACCAATCTTCATCTACCACATGTTTTTTATGCTGCACTGGATGAATATGCTCCTCGGCTGATTGGACTTTACAAAAAGAAGAAAACTGGACGGGTTGGTGAAAACATGGACCAGCTGTTGTTGGAATATGAGCAACAGGTACTTAAAAATACTTTCACTCTACTGTTTGCATGGTAGTCCCATTTGTCATGTTTTATATATTTTTTGTCCTTTAAGGACAAGAATGACATCTGCACAACAAGAACAGCAGCCCTGGCTGGCCTGCCGATTTACCTCAAGGAGGATTCTTCAGGCATTTTCAAAACATGCAAGGTATGTTATACTTGGGAATTGCAATAATTTTCCTATTGAAATGACAAAGTGGTAATACATACAATTTGAAAAAATTTAAGGTATCTGGCTATTTGTATTTGTGTTGATCTTTATATCTATGACATAAATATTTCTCATCAATACTTTTGATGTGTGACAGGATGAAATGGAGTTCCATGAAGCTGCACTTGCGCTGGTTGCTGATGTGGGTGAAGAGGACGTGCCTGCTGGAGTTCCTTTCTCACCACGCCAAGTGTTCGTTGTTCTTGAAGATCAGGTTGTAATGACTCATTACAGATGGACTGATGCTTTGGTGTGTTTGTTTGGGCTAATATATGCTCTGCATCTCAGCTATCCTGTGAAGTGTAGTAGCTTTTTTGAGTTCATTCAAGTAGTGTTGCTGAAGCTAGACGATGAGAGAAAGCAACTCAGACCAAAATTACAGACACTGAAAAATGAGCTGGTGTAGATGGGGTTTGTTTTTCACATGTTCTTGCTTGTTCATTAATCTTTGAATGGCTTCAAGTCAATAGTTTTATATGTCCATGTTCTCAGCCTTCTAAAACAGCAATATGCTGAAAGCTAATAAAGAAACATTTCAAATACTTGACATTTTTGTGATACACTTTTAAGGTAAACTGGGAGGCCACAAGTATCTTTGAAGATTTTTTTTACATATGTTTATATTGACTTCATCTATTGCATTCTTACAATATTCATAAACACTTGTCATTGTTCCTCTATGATATATTTGTATTTAGGTTCATGTCAGCAAGTTTCAAAGTTCAATAACTGATGATCAGTCCAAATTGACATTTGTAATCACTATGTTTTATTGTCAAATGACATCTTTCCATTTTGCCATTGAGGTTTGGCCACAGCAGTTGAGGACACTAATCTTTAAGCAAACTGTTGTACAATAACAGCGTTGAAATTTAATATTGTATTCCTACAGTATGTGTTAATAATGGCTGATGACATCCTTGTAGTTAAGCTTTGTTTGCATTTTCGTTAGGTGCATGTCAATAAATCTGGATATTCTTAATTAAAATTCAGGTCATGATGGTTAATGGCAACTAAAAATACTGGAATTATTCTCACGGAACATTTTATGTACACACAGTGGAAAAAAGCATTTAGCAAATTTGAAAAATGTGCAGTTGTTATCATTCTGTTTTTTCTGCAGTTCAAGTTAATAAAACTGAATGGAGAAAGTCCGAGTTTGTTGTTGTGTTAATACTACTAATACGGTTTGGTGCAATCGGTTTCCCCAGTTGAATTGAGTAACTTTAGTTATTCAACTAAGAACCATTCAAGTTAATTTAACTCAGTCGGATTATGAAAGAGGAATTTATTTTAAATAAGTTAAAATATATACGGCATTTTAGTGCCACTTATTTAAAGGTTTAAGTTGACTATACTAGATAAAAATAGTTGATAAACATAACCATTTGAGTTAACGTATCATAATTGTATTGAATTAATTAGACTCTACTCGCATAATTAAATAAACTCAAATAGTTTGAGTTACAAAACTTAAATCAATTTGTGCAATTGGTTTCCCCAAATCATTTGAGTTAGCTTAACTTATCAGGTTTTACAGTGTGGATGGAAACATCGTTTGAAAAACAAGCTAGCAATCTATCGCAGTCAGTTACGAAAACTTGGTTGTCATGAAGTAACTGTCAATGCACTGAGCCACAAGGAAAAGGCCCTGTCTTTGCCACTAAAAAGCCAAGACGATCTGAAGTGAACTACTGCCCTCCTTATCCAATAGGAGAGTCAGAGGAAAGCTTAGAAAAGCTTCGAGTACAGCTTCTATCAGATGTAAAAAAGAGAAACAATAAGGAAGTAGTGAGGCAGAAAATGGGCAAGACCTTCTCTTATAGAAGATTGGAGGTTGTTCGCGAAACACCCATGGTTCAAGATGTTCAGGAACGATGGCCGGCTCTCTTTAATATGTTGGAGGTAAATAAAATAGTTTATGTAAATTAAAGTTGTTTTATAAATGTTGACTGAAAATTTTGTCTTGGTTGTCCAGATAAATGCTGAGTTCAACAGAATCACTACCCTGCCACTTCAGTCCCGGTTCCTTTCGCAGCTCGACATTCTGTCAGGATCTGGGGTGAGTCTGCACATTCCTCTAATCACCTTAAGTCATTGCAGGTGGGCGGCTCCGGAGAGCGGCCAGCTGCGATGATTTCCCTCATCTACTTCATGTGGTTAAAAGGAGCTGGAGATCACTTCACCTTGCCGGAAGATTACTCAACTTGGGTAGCTCTTGCCACTATAGAAAACTACAGCTTTAGTCTAGCCTTATATTTGTCCGTCGTCATTGTTGGTTTTTGATGACCTCTGCCTTCCCTTCATCAGGAATTCTCACCACAAACCTTTCCTGCAATAACCTGGTTTTTCATCTCCAAGCCTGATCTCCCTCCTCACCCGGACCGACCCGCTCTCCCACCGCTCACCTCCCTTGGATTTTGGATTCACGCTGACGTTGCTCACCCCAGTCCTGGCTACCCTCCCAAGCTCTGGATTTCAGCCCCCACAGTAAGATCCACTACAAACTGAGTCCTGCAATTCTATTCCCCGCTGCCCAACACTGACAGTGTTTGTCTCAACAGACCCAGCCCCGGAGCTGTGCTCAACATCACCGCCACGTCTGGCGGTGCACCTTTAGTTCTCCTTAAAATAAAACATTTATTTTTTTCCTACCTACGTCTCCTAGTGTGAATTCTGCATGTCTTGGGTCAGGAAACTTCCCTCAGTCATGACACATTCTTTCTCCAAAACTGCTTGCACTCTACAAAAAAAGAGGTGGACAGAATGGCAAACGTCTGCAAAGTATAATGGACCACATGACAGATGTGAGATTTGAAAATGCAATTCAAACTATCCTCGTTAAGAAAATGTACTAGTTAAAATTAAAACTGTCCCACATCCGATAGGAAGATGACGTTGACCTTGGATGTGAAAGGCCTTTGTGTGTACCTCAGTGAAGACCATGAGAACCTGATAAGAGAGTATGTGGTGAGTGCAGTGAAAGTGGTTCAATGACTGTAAAAATGCTAAACACCCAAAGAAGAACACTCATTTTTCACTCATGTACATTGACGGAAATAACAGCTCAGTGTGCATGGCTCTGGTGTTAATCAAATTTAATTGTTTCCTTTGCAACAATCTTCACAAGAAGGCAAAATAGGCAAATAGCAGAGTTCGCATTGACCGGATATTTTCCGTAATTTGATCGTTTATTTATTTATTTACTTTTTGGGTCGGAGAAACCTCAAGGCTGTTGGTTGTTTTGAAAGACACCCTGACGCACGTAGATACGCTGATAATTTAATCGTTACGCACATCGAGGAGGTAGCTAAATCAATAAAGAGAAGATTCCCATCAACATCTGAGCATTATACTAGACACTGCTTAGCACAGCTTGCTAGCTAGGATGCATGTAAGGCGGACAGCGAGCCGAAGATGTGGAGGGGCTTGGAGTGAGTCCGTTAAAGGCAGCAGCAGACCCAGAGTGCATATGGGAAGATCCCTCTCACTGATGCTAGTGTTTTCCAAACCCTGTCTCTCAGAGACTTGTCACTTACAGAATGTTCCCTGATTATGAAACTTTGGCTGAATAGCGCTTGTTCCTGTCTCCAATGTGGCGACGCATCCATGAGCCTGCCTGAGGCAATCAAAAGAAAATTGCACGTTGTAAATTCTGGTGATGGCATAATGCATGAGCCCAAAAATCAAACTTCCAGCACCAGAAAGTCTCTGCATTAGTTGGAAACAAGACATGCCCCCTTTTTGAAATCCATCCTGTAGCAGGACTCATTGACCTCCTCTCACATTCAGAGAAAAGTTCAGAAAAAGTTGAAAAAAAAACCCAGAATAATCTGACTCCACCACAAAGTCCACATCAGACAGTTTCTCCAAGAGTTTCAGGCGGCAGGATCAAATAAAGAACGAGTTACGTCCTTATCTTGCTCCTTCGTTGTAGTTGAACAGAACTGAATTGACCAGATAATCAAACTACAATGGTTTGTAGTTTAATTTTAACCACATTAAAATTAAGCCAGTTGACCTGATGAGGTCAGCCAAAGCATCCACGAAGAATGTCCACAAAGAATGGTCCGGCCTGCGGACCATTTATTGAGGACTGCTGCTTTATACTGGGTGGGTCCAAGTCAGCCTTGATGTAAACGCAGCAATATTTCAACTAACTTTTGACCCTGCAGCATTATAGTAATACACAGCATTGCCCTATTCAAGCAGCAAATTAATGTACAGAAATATAATTTTGCTTGCCAGTAAAAATTGAGCAGACTTCCGTCTGAACAGCTTATGTTGATACTAACAAGTAGTGATGAGCGAGTACACCACTGTCTGTATCTGTATCTGTTCAACCATTTAAATTATCTGTATCCGTGTCTGTACTCGGAATGGGCGTGGTTTACATCATCATATTATTTTAAGTCTGAAATTGATATGGAATGATCAGAAGTTGATATGTGTATTGTTCATTTGAAAACTATTTACAGAGCAGCCTCAGAATTGAGATTAAATATTTTTGATCACAACAGTAAAGGAACTATTACAGAACAAGTGGAACTCATGCAGTAGGAACTAGGAAATATGAAATGCTAGAACCAGACACAAATTTATGTATATATTTTTTTCATTTTAATTTGATTAAACTGATTTTTTTCTTAACGTTCTTGGCATTTTCCCACACAAAGTTAAACAAAACAATGTTGATTAAGGTGTGCGTGTCTGAGAGAGATAGAGAGGGTGAGAGGGAGCGAGATGGAGTTAAAAAAATAAAAAACCCGACCGGAGCGGAGGTAGTGAGTCACATGATGGAGTATGAAGCTTTGAGTAAACTCTTCTCTGACAAGTGAAGGTAAAGAGGAAGCGTTTCTATGATGTAGCTTCAGATTAACAATTATGTGGTACAAGATATATGATGATGACTAGTGGGCGTCTGTGTGTGCGCCCGTGCGCGTCTGTGTGTGCGCGTGCGTCCGAACGTGCGCCTGTACGTGCGCGCATGCACGTATGTACGTGCGCGCGCACGTCTGTACGCTGCATGTTCTTTAGCACCAAAGCCTTCATGAGATCAAACCACCTTTGGACATCGGAGGAGTCGCGTCTCTGAACATAGCAAATCGGATTGTCAGAAATCAACTATGCCTGCATCTTACGTGGAATTATTTAAACGCAACAAGGAACTGGAGAGGGAAAGAAATGCATTATCTCGAAAAGTCACGGATTATGAACAAGTAATTCTGTTACTGAAAGAGAAACAAGCTACCGAAAAATTACAATCGAATGAGAAGTATGAAAAAGATATGAAACAAAAAGCTTTAGATAATGACTTTAAAATTCAAAAAGCAAATGAAGAGATGGCTGGTTTGAGAAAGAAGATCTCGCAACAGGAGGAATCTATTAAAGAACTCAAACAGGAGAATAAATCTCTTAAAATATGTGATAAAAAACTGAACAAAATGACTCTTGATCAAAGGACCCTAAAAGATAGAATTCAGACCATCAAGGAAAATAACAAAACGCTCACATCAAAAAAATCGACTTTAAATAAAACAGTTCGTGCACTTAAAAAAAAGAGAATCAGTCTCAAAGGGCAAATGTGTGTTAAAGAAAAGATGATACAGAAACTCAAGGTTGATTTGGAAAACTGTAAGTTATCGAACCAATCATTTGAGAATGATTTATTGGATGCAAAAAAAGAAATCCATAGTCTTCAAAAGCTAAATGCAGATTTACAACGACAGGACACCGTAGCCAACAGGGAGAAAGTCGTGGCCATACAAAACCTGACCAAGAAATGTGAGGCTATGAATGATGAGCTGTGGCAAACCAGTCGAGACTTAAAAATAGCCCAGGACGAGCGTGAAAAGTCACGTATAGATTTTAAACAACTACAACGGCAGATAGAAGAAATGAATGAAGTTAAAATAGGTATGTTTAAAGATCTTCATCACAAACAAAAGACAATAGATGGCTTGGAAAAGGAATTGGATGAAACCAAGACAGAATTGAAAGTAGAAAAGGAGACTTACAATTTGTTGCGTGAGAAGTATCTTACGGAAATACGAAACGTACCTCAGAAAGTATATGACAATAAGGCGCAATGTCCATCATCAGATCTTAATATGTGGCAAAGGAAGGTACAAACTGAATTAAATACTCCCGGTACGCCCACATTTTCTAAGCAGTTTGACGTCAGACCCACAGACGTTGCACCTTTCCGATACAAAGGTGGATATGTTAAACTCCCCCCCATAAACAAACCCATTAGACACAATGTGTACATAAAGAAACCCTTTAGGGGACCAGATCCTAACCCAGATCACTGTAACATTTACAATA